TCAAAGGATTATAGCAACATGTAAGTGAGGACAGTGTTAAACATGGTAAGATTTGTTTAAGCTAGTCAGAAAAATGTAGAGGTATTTGTCATATCACTCTCCATATTTTTCTGTATGTTTGAAATACTTTATAATAAAATATTGAAGATACTGGACATCAGCACATTGTCAACAATTAAATATGGGCAAGGCTGAGCAGTTCTAGAATCCCTAATCCCCAACATTTCACCCCTAAGAATATAAAGCAGAACTGAAACCAAGATACCAGTTATGATGGCAGCTAGTCTTTAATTTACACTTTTTCCCTCGATCATCCTTTTGCTAAAAAATTGTTTCCTATAAAAATGTGTACAGCCATGATGTAAAGATCAACTGATTTCCACCCCAAAGAGTTAAAAATGCAATTGCATATTGTAGGAACGCCAGGCAAAGCCTACCAATCCAACTGAAAAAAGGGGGAAGGATACTGCTGGATTTGCCTCACTAAACAGGGCAAATCAAGAGGCTTGTATGAATGCTAAGCTGCTGAGAAGGAAAAACCCTGACACCTAGTGCCCATCGGGAAAAATGAAGCCTTGGAGCCACTACAATTCTTTAAGTGTGGTAGTGTGTGCACAAGCGATCATAAAATTGCGCTCAATTTGGAATATACCTATTTCCAGAAAAATGTTATGGAAAAAATGTAATACCATGCAAAAATTCCAGTCTCTAATGACCAATCCTTTTGGGAGTACACATCCTAATTGTTATAACTGCTTCTAAACACAGCATCTTCTTCTCATCTCAGTTTTTCATTATGACAGGAGTGATGAGAGAGAATGGATGGGTTCCTGTTGTTAAAAAGGCCATGCTCTGAAGTAATAAGGAAACAGGGTCGTCATTTGTACCCTTACTAAATTACTATAAAAGGTGGATCTCTATCACATCCTCCATCATTGCTTGATTCAGAGATTTGTAATCTAGTTCACAGAGCTGTTAAAGGAAACATATTAAAAGAATGCTAATATTTCAAAACAAATAACATAGTCTCAAGAAGGTTAGTGTTTTCTTTGTCCTACCAGGCAAAGTTAAGTTGTTCTCTGTCAAATCGGTTACAGCCCTTGCCTTGATCTTAGCCTGAGCCTTTTAATAACAGGATTCTGTGCGAAAAGCAGCTGCATTGGATTGTGAACTGTTACTCAAAATGTTCCCACCTACAATTACAGCTTCCACCAAATGATCAAAACAGGTTAGCAAACTGGCAGGAAAATGAAAACAATTCCTCCAAAATCAAGATGTGGTAAGAGCAGAACTGTCGGTTGGTTGCGTTTCTTCTGTATCCAGGCCCAACAGCACACATTCATCTAGCTGTGTATTTACATACAGCGCCCATCACTGTAGCATCATGAAATCAGCTAGAAATGAAATCAGTTTAGTCTATGCTGCAATACTATTTTCCTCAATTTTCATCTTTACTTGAAACTATTAAAGAAAAATCCTGGTCAACTCATCTTTGGAGCTATTTGCAAGTAATGTAGTTCACAGATTTGGTCTACATCTCTTTTATTCCTACTCTAAATTCTCACTAACACAATGCCATTCAAATCTGACAATGAGAAACGTTCTACACTTCATCATACATAAGGTGGCCCTCCTTCAGTTACTCTTTCTTGATGGCGGAGGGACAACTAGGAAAAAAGAAAGGAGAAGGTAGCTAACATCACATCAGCAAAGCTGTTTCTCCTGCTTTTAACACGGGCACAATGTTAAAAATGCAGGTCACATCTCTGCTGAAACAGCCAATATTCTTCCTCAAATGGCAAATAAGTTGCCTAAAACGAAATGGAACCAAATTGTTCCAACTCCTGGACCCATCACCATTTTACCCATTTACTGTCCTGGAAAAAAAAAATAAGGAAGAAAGACTGGCCACCCACATAGCCAATGGTCTGTTAAGTGTAGGTTTTCTGTCTCTGATTATGGGGAAGCACATCTCAATTCCTGGGGAAACTACAGGAATCTCTTGTTTTACCTTTATTCGTATATCCATGTGCTAGCTTTTAAACCCAGAAACTCCAATCCTTCAAGGTAATGCAATATCACCCATAATGATGACCTGGAAGAGCCGTCACCTTTGGAGAACACCACATTATAATGATTTAATGTCTATGTAGCATTAATGCATTTACATTGAGCCTTGGCTCTCGGGACATTAACAGGTCAATTTTTTATTCTTTTTTTAATAAAACTATTTCTCAAGGCTCTGTTCAGATGCCCATTCTCTTTGGGACAGGACAGATTTGCTCCAAATCTCATCAGCATGAGCTCTTTTCTTTCCCCTCACATCATTCTTGGGTAATATGTAGAGCACCAGGCTCATGACAAACTTGTCTCTTTGGCCAAAGAAAATTAAACTGCAATAGCTGAAAGTCAACTTGCCCTGATAAAACTCGGCTCAGCATGAGGAAATACATCCTGTTGACACCGCGTCATCTCTTAGGAGGAGCTGTCCCTCAGAGTTCTGACTGCCAAAACTCCATCTTTAGATTGGTCAGTCTCTCAGTGGACATGCTCCATTGTATGTTCAAGCTATTGGTAACAGAATTTGATACTAATACCCCAACCTCATTCCTGTCGCACAGTGCCCCATAATTTAGCTACGGCCACTGACTGACTTCACCAGCCGTCCCAGACATTAGTCACTAACTGCTCACAAAAGAACATCGACCTCACTCCTCCTGAGCTCAAAGACTCAGAAATAGCAAGCTGGCGCTCAGCCTCAATTCTAGTCAGTCATTTGAAGAAAAGGAAAAGAGAACAAAGAAAATAGGCAACTAAGAAGAGAAAAGAATAGTAGAAACAAGTGAGAACGGACAGAAAGCAAAAAAATATTTTTAATACTATTAGATTTCTAGATTTCAAGTTTATTAAAACACTGGGCAAAGTAAAACGTAGTTTCTATACTGACTCTACTATTCCCAGCTATAGTATAAGACTTATCTTTTCCATCAAGGTTTGTTGGGTATTAAAAGGGTTAAAAAAACCCTTTAATTTTTTTTTTTATTCGTGTGTGTGTGTGTGTGTGTGTGTGTGTGTGTGTGTGGTCTTTGGGTACAGAGTCCGTATAATAAGACTATTTGTATTCATACTGGCAGAGTAAACACTACATGTTCATGCCCAGGCAGCTCTGTGCTTGTAATTTCAGCAAGAACAGAGCTGTGTCCCTCTGGGACTTCACTATTCCCCCAGTCTCCATTCGCTCAAACACAGAACAAGAGCGGAGAGAAAGCAGGAAAGAAAGATCATGGCAAGAGGCTTCACAGAGCACTACAGCTAGCTTGCGCATGGCCAAAAATCTCATTTTGTGTTTTAATTACATTAGTTAAAACCGTTTTCTCTCAGCTCCATGTTCACAAGGGTGCCTTCTGTTCCTGAAGACTACACTGTTCAATGAATCAGAATTTAAGGCTAGCACAATGAAGCTTTTCTTTGCTCTTGAGGGGCTCACTGAGTACGTGCTACACACAGTGGCACAAACCTCTGCTTCGGCTTTGTGTGCTAATGAGCATATGCCTACTCTTGTCAAGATCCTATGCATCCTTCCTCCCTAGCCTCTTGCCTTTGCTGTTCATCAAGGTGTTAGATTAGGAGAACTCCTGCAAGTCTGATACTCTCTGTCTGGTCCATGACTGCATCTACCTTAATACTAAATCATCCACTTTAGCATCCTCTGGTGTACTTATTGACACAACCATATACTTGGTGTATATAGTAACTTTTTTTTGGAATAAGATACTGCATAAAAATAGAAATGACAACATATTACCTCCAAAGGCCTACTCAGTCTGTTTATGGTGAACATACAAGTAAGGATTACCTCTTCTAAGGAAGAAGCTTTATCTAGGATTATATCTAAGTCTGAAATAAAAACATCTCTTTTTAGGTATTATTGTTATTGTTATAACTATACATTAGAAGCATAGTTAAAACCAGGAAGAATACCTATGCATGGAGGTGGACATAGGGTATTGTGCAGAATATGACTTTATGTCATTTTTTTTTTGTTTTTTGAAATACATCTTTATTGATTTCAGGGAGAAGAAGGCAGAGGGAGAGAGAGCAAGATAGAAACACCAATGATGAGTCATTGAGAGGCTGCTTCCTGCACGCCCCTTACTGGAGATCAAGCCCGTAACCCAGGCATGTGCCCTGACAGGGAACTGAACCTCGATCTCTTGGATCATAAGTTGATGCTCAACTGCTGAGCCACACTGGCTGAGGTATATCATTATTAATAGTGCACTACAGGAGAAAGGCCTACAAGGCTAGGAAATGCATTCTTGAATAACTATCAAAAATGGGTTCTCTGTTACTTTCTTTTATGTTTAAACCCCTCGTTCTGAATGAGTCACTTTAAGAAGAATATATTTACCATGCTCACAACAGCATCAGATCAAATTACCCCAGCATAAAAAACATACCAAAATATGCATACTAGCATGCAAATAGATATCCAAGTAAAGAGAAACATCAAGCAAAAACAGTACTTTAAATGCTCTTTTTATAGAAAATCTCAAAATTTCAAACATATACAAAAAGCGAGAAAATAATCTATTCCTATGTATCTATCATCTAGTTTCAATTAACAACTCATGGCCAATTTCGTTTCATCCATACTTACACACTCACCCTCCATTATTTTGAAGTAAACTCTATATATCAGATCACTTCATCTGTAGCTATTTTAGTATGTATATTTAATAGAAAAACAAGTTTTATTAAAAAAAGCAAAATTGTAATATCATTTTTAAACAAAGTAGTATCACTAGCACACCTAAAAAATTAAACAATAATTCTGTAATAATCAGTTAATGTTCTCTCTCTAAAGAATTCTACTAATAAGACTACTATGATGTCTACTACTTGGATTTGAATTAACACTATTTAATGACCATCCCATGAAAAGCTGGTATTAGTGGGCACAGAGGTAAGAAAGGGGGGAAGGGGACTCAATTACTTGCCTCATTTCCTCCTGGAAGCCTGTTCATGTGGACCAGTTGACCTTGATCATCCAACACGAGCTCAGTGTATGTCAGCATGTCAGAAGGCAGAGGAGGCGATGGAAGGAATGCTTGAGTGGACATAGACTCCCAGAGTTTGATCAGGGACTAGTGGAGGAGAGAAGTTTGACTAATCAATGACAATTAGCATTTCAACATGGATAAAAATGTTAAGATTTGGTCAAGCTGGTTTTGCTCTTTCTTTTCTAAGTGTTCTGCTGAGTGTCTAAACATTAGACCAAATTCTACAGCTCTCATTCTCAGTTAAAACAGATTTAATATTATTTTTCACATAATGTATTTACATGTCAAAAAAATCAGGCATTTTTCCAATAAAATCAAACTACTGAGGGATTCTCAGTCAGCACTACAGCATTAACAAATATACCAGACCTAACAATATCCCTGGGAAATTAAAATAAGAAACTAAGTCGCATCACTCTCCCTTAAGAAAGCAGGAAAAATCCTAGAGTAACTTGGCAATAGAAGAATAACCAGGAAAATGACATAACACTCAGCTAATATAAAGAAATCCCAAGAAGGCAAGAATAAAGTTTCTACTAGAGGTTCAGGAAAAGCATCCCTTTTCTAATATCTTTTAAGAGCTATAGGCCCATAAACAGGAATTAGTTCACCAGAGGTGTATGACTATTTGTAAATATACATGCCAATTCTGCTCAAATTTGAGAAAAACAGAAAGATACACCTATCCATTTAGAAACCATCATGATTTCCAACTTCCAGTTACCAAAACAAGTGCCTCATGAAGTGGGAACTAGTTGTTTCTTTGCTTGCCTCAAAGCAACATTTAAAGCCAATATGACTCATTCAAACCTAGATGTCCTAATTGATATGTTTATGTCTATTCCATAGGAAGAACTGTATATGGAATGTGATTTCTATTTATAGCACTGGCTTTGGGAAACAGAACCAACACTCAACTTTTAGACTAACAATGCCAGTAATACTGAGTGACGGTAGCTACATTTCAACAGAGAGAGAACTTGTAAACGAGTGGTTACATAAGGAAATCTCTTGTATTTGTGAATAACACAGGAATTACAGATAGACTATTTACCAAGATCACATATATTACCTTAGTAAAATTCAAATATGGTAATACTGGTTGTATTAACTAGGAGATTTGGAAAAATTCTATATTCATAGACTTTTTAAAGGACAAATTCAGTATTCTTTTGATAACTTATTTTTTATCTGCTGCATTTTCTGCTGGTGATATACTTTTCTCGCCTTCTATTGATGGAAGAAAAATCTGCAGCATAGAGATGATTCACCATACAGATCAAAGGAATTTATTTTCATATAGAGGATAAGATTCATAATATCATATTTTCTCATGCTAGTTTTTATTCAGCTATAATAAATCTCCCACAAAAGAACGGATACTTTAAACTGTGTACCATGAACTCCACATCCATTTGTATATGTTATCTATATTGATTCTCACCATATTCACCTAGGCTATGAGCTGGAGAGACCTGGGTTATCTTGGAAAACAGGAAAATGAGAACTAGAGTTTCCAAACCTCTTTAGTATCCATAATTTGCATATAGGCTTTGGAAATATAGACCTGAACATAACTCCTCACACAGGTCATTGTAAACTACCATCACAGGCATGTGGCCTCAGTTTACTCTTATCTACACAATAGAGGGTTCTATCCTCACTACTCCTCTTGGTAATTCATCAAGAACCATCCAATATCCAAGTTGGCAGTCACCAAGTCCCAAATAAAATAAAAAGAATAGTGTCAAGAAATGTCCTGCCCTTTGGGAATACATCATTCCAGTCTAAGCTGCATCTGATGGAGAGTCAAGAAAACGTTGCCTCTTTGGAATAGGTCAGAGTCCCCTCCAGTTAGCCACCATTACCTGTCGAAACATCTCTGGAATATCATATATGTATGTTGTCCCTAAGGATTGTGCCTGGAACCTCTTTGATTGAAGCAGGTCTTTGGTCACATAGGGAGTGTTGATTAACATTCCATGCAATGGCCCCTGTTTGTCTCCATACGCCTGAAACATGATCTGCAGGAAAGAGAGGATGGCATGTGGAGCTGAGACAGAGAAAAAAATCAGAGATCTGCCTAGAGGGGCTTTTTCCACAAAAGTTATTTCTTGAAACACATTTTTGGTGGGTTGAGTAGCTCAGTTATGCTTGTTAATATAGGCTACATGATGCTCTCACCTCTCTACAAATTAACCAATTGCAAAAAATGGTATGTAGCCAACTGCACACAACGGGCTGCTCTCACTTTTGGATTTGTTGAAATCCACAAGAAAGCACAGTGTAAATTTCACATTTCAGAGACAGACTGACAATGCTTGCCTTCTAAAGTGACTTGAATCCCACATATTCAGAAATGAAGTATATGTCAACTAACCAGTCTGAACAGTGCTACTAGTATTTAAATTGAGAAACAGCTATGCACTAAAGAGAATTCTGTTCTTTCCCCATGGTAGAAGGCCAGGTCAGGTTCTACCATATCATCCATGCTTTTAGTCTACTTGATTAGAAAGTGCTTCATAAGTATTATTAGCCATAGAAAGGCTTCAGAGATTTCTGCTACAAGTGGATTTCATCCATCCATCTAGCTAGCTAATTTTTATTAGCTTAAAAGACATAGCCTATAGTAAAAAACATATATTTTATTAAATTATATACACATCTACATAATATATACACACATATATTTCCCCAGAACATTATGTCTACTAGTGAATAGCTCCTGCAATACTTATACTGTCACATAATGAAATCAGCACACCAGCTTTTAATCATTTTAACTCAAATAATTCTAGAAGAGTGCTTCATACTCCATATATTTAATTTTATTTGCTTATCAATATTTATAAGGAATGCCATTATTTCTATTTAATTAATATTTATTGAGTGCTCAGAGGTTGTATAACACTAAACTAGGCACTTTATGCATGAATACATAAAATATAGATTCCTAATGCAGCAAACAGAAATGGAGATTGGGATGTAAGGATATGTGTATCTACCCATATACCTATTCAGGCCTAATATATATAAGCTTAAGTCTACCATTAATGATTAGATTTGTGAACCTGCTGTACAGGCACAAGAAGGGAAATAAATGCTTAGCTAAACCCTGGGTATAGTTCAGCTAAGGGAATCCTTAGCCCCTTAGATCAGAGGAACAAGTGTATTCTGCTGACTTATAAAAAAGGTCCTCTTCTGGGCAAAATTTGTCTTGGGCTGCTCAAACTGCCCCCCCCCCATGAAGTTCCCAGTCCTCTTCCATATGACCAATGGTGAAAGTCACCAGGTAAGAGGTAGAATTAACAATGTCTTAGGAATGTGAGAGGTAGAAATAGTAATGTTTTTAGGGATTCAAAGTGTTAGTATGAAAGAATTGGACTCACAAGTTATCAAGATGGTCTCTATCATGATTGTGATGGTGGTACACAGGTGTATACTATTTCAGAATGAACTGAACTATATACATCAAGTGAGTGCATTTTATTATATGTAAATTGGTTCTCCATAAAGGTGATTTTTAAATATATATTTCTCCCTTACACTATACATTGAAAATCAGTTGACATGCAATGGATTACCCATATCTCTTCTCCCCACTATAACTGACTGACATGAGTGTTCATTATAGCTAATATCACAAAGACTGTACAAGGAAAATGAAACTCATGCCAGTCAACCTTGCTCCCTATTGGCAGAAAGAATAAACCATGTGCCAAAGTAAGAGGCTGATAGTAATGGATAGCACTAGAAGCCTCTGAATGATCAGATATCTCTGTTCATTCCATTTTCTACTATAACGGACATCATAATTAAAGACTGGTAAAGTGTATGTTTTATAAGTTTATGAAAATATGTACACAATATACCACACACCTTTCACCAGAGGCCATCAAAAGAGCTTCTCTTGGAAAACAATCTCTGATCCCATATAGTCTGTTCCCTTATTTTATGAAGGCAGAATCATAATCATACCACAGAGAAACTAATTATTTGTCTTCCATTGTGATGTAAATTTCTTGAGAATAGAGATCACTTTTCTTTGTATCCATGCTGCCTGACACACTATAGGTGGTTAATGTTAAAACAGTGATCAAATGAATGAATGATATGCATGGTTCTATATTATTTTAAATTTATATAATGACTCATGAGAGCAAAGAAAGGGAATAAGCATCAGGCAGGCATTAGGAGTGCCAGAATTGCATTGGAGGCTGTTCTTCTTGTGGGTTCCCCCCAGTCCACACGGGCAGTGGCCGTTGAACTCTCTCAAGTGAAGCGCCTGAGGGAGACTTCTCCCTTCAGGGCTTCCTAAATATGTAGGGCCCATAGTAAAAGGGGTTCTCCCTCAGGCTAAAGGTAGCGCAGGCATTCGTTCAGATACTTATTGAGTGCTTATTTTGTGCCAGGCGTAGTACTAAACCCTGACTGAAGGCTTCTGCGACTTTTATGCTCCTGTGTCACCACATGCCTCATGTGCCAGCATGAGGGAAACCTAAGAGCTTTCTGATAAAAAGGGAAAACAAAGTAGTTATGAAGAACAAACTTATTTATCATAAACACTGAAATCTCAAGTGGCCATCTTATTTTTCACAAGAATAGACTTGCCTTGAAGCCATTGTAGAAGTTAATTAAAATCATCCCTACCCAATGGAAAGCTCTGACTGAAAATGTCTTTAAGGTTGCCCTGAAAAACATCAAATGCAGCAAAAATTATTGAATACTCTTTCCCTTGCTAACCCCTCATGCTCTTGCTTGCTTCTCTGTTTTAACTGTTCGCTTCTCATGGGATAGATTTCTCTGGCCATCTAACTGGGACTCAAAACACAAAATGAAAGGTCACTCTGACAGCTATCCAAACTCAGATTTTTAAAATTCATCTTCAAAGTACTGATAAAAATGTCTTTTCTTTCTTTTGTTCCCAGATTTAAAAGGGCACAGATAAAAACAATAGACTATAATCTCTTCCTGGTACTCAATGCATAGAACCGACTGAAACCTTTGTGTACACATACTGGAGCAAGTTCACCCTTTAAACAGAAAAAATGCACTTCCCAATTTCAGTCCAAATCCTTGAAATAACATCTCCATTCTTAAAAAGACATGAGCAATGGCAAACCAACTTAAATCAACTACAGTATCACAGCAAATGGCCCAAATATTTAGAAACAAAGACGGCAAAACAGACTAAAAAAAGAATTCTCTGTTATCAGAGAACCAAACTACTAAAAAAGTCACTTTCCATTTTCACATTCTCCATTTTTCTACCTGAAAAATGGGTTAAGGTTTGCCACTGTGCTCTTTTATAGACATAAAACTCTGAACTCTGGGTATAAATGGAATAACAATAGGTAAATACGATACAATCACTGCTTAATATTACTCAAACCACTATGTTGAAATTTTCCTTCTTTAAGACAGAAGTTGGTGACATATTTCAACAATTCTCCTTTCTTTACTTACCAATGAGTCTAACTAGGCGGAAAACAGGAAGGACAAACCAGACCAGAAAAGGCAAGACTGCTCAAGTAGTCCTAGAGTATATTAAGAAAGAGCCCTAAATGACACAATTACCTCTGGAGTTAGGTTCACTTGGCATCTGTTAGGGCTCACTAATTCATGACCAAAGGTTGAAGGTTTTATAACACCTATGATTAGAAACAGAGGTACATCTTACAAGGCAAATGGAGTTTGTCAAATTCATGAAATCGCATAAGCTGATAGAGGACAGCCCCACTAGGTGAACCAATGGGATTTATGAATTTGGGTCTTCTATAACAAGTGCAAGTAGCTTATCCTAAGGACCAAATAAAAACTTTGAGGACACTTCAAAGTTTGACTACTGCCTGACTACTGTACCTGTGCTGTCCTGGAGTCAGTCACTTCCTTGTACAGGCTGATGTCCAAGTAATAGCCAGACTCGTTTGTCAGGAAGAGGCGGATGGGAATTGCTTTTCCAGTTGGTGTCAGGCGAATGTTGATTTTCAGTTCTGCCTGGAGGACGCGTAATTTCCACAGCCGACTTCCATAGCGCATTACCATGCTCCGCACAGATTCCTCAATCTGACATACACACACATCACCAAGCACAAAACTTAAATACCTGTAACTAGGACCTGTTTCCAGTCTGCCCATCTTTGGGAATTGAGGAACGGGAAAAGATGCAAGTTTCTCAAGATGTGTACTACATGTATTCCTTACAAAAAGTCATATAGTTTCTGCCCAACCCTACTTTTGCTTAGACAAGTCAGGGACAATTTCATGCTGGCCTGTCATATGAGCAGTTTTCTATGGCTAACAACACTGAAATGCATGCAACTCCTTTCCCCTTTTCCAATTATATTCATATCCTATCTCAAAGGTCTGCAATATCTAAAATTACAAGCCATGGGAATTAAGAGAAAGCCCCAAATAAGAATAAAATCTCTAGTTAAACAGCTATTAAGTAGCATTTATATGCATGGTAACTATGTTTCATTGCACTTTCAGGACCTTAAATCAACATAGCAATTACCACCCACGAGCTTTTTTCCATACATTTTTATTAAACTTTATAATATATGTCTCTTGGTAAATTGCACAAATTAAAGATAGGCAATTTGTAGGTGGTGCTAGAATGTTCTCTCTAAACAGAGCTCTGAAGCTTGATCATTGCCAAGTCCAACTGGGATTTAAGTATATGAAACACGTTTCCTAGTTTCTCTAAGCTTTATACCAAGGCAGCTTAGTGCTTCTAGTTTTCAGGGTTAGGTGAGTTTAACCAAATAGCCTTAGAAGTGATTTCTCCTTATTGACATACTAAAGCAAAATATTTTTTCCAACATGGCTGCAGGCAGCTAGGAATATTCTTCTCAAAATTAATATTTCTTAAGTGAAGTGTCTTTCTAAAATGCTTCCTCAACTTAGAAAACTCTCAAAAATATCTCATACCACCCTTCTCTTATCGATTTTCAGAAGCATGTGCCACTCTTGCAATTTGTTTCTGCACCACAGAATTTTAGGTTAAAATGTGTTCTAAGGAGTTAACTTCTCTATTCTCACACTTGCTTGTTAACCAAGTGATATCTACCCATTCTTTTCTCAAGGAAACAAAAGTCAACATCTCCCTATATAGGAAATTGACAGCTATCTATGATTAGAAAAGCAGAGCCAGGGTATACGGGTGTTTGGAGTTGAACAGAGAGGCTAATATAAAAAACTCAATGAGAAATTGTAGGCTAAATCTAAAAATATATAGTTATACAGTGTCCAGGCCATGTTTTAAGTCTTTCAGCTTCATCAGTTCCAGAATGTTTAGGAGAACCTTTGTTTAACCTACACGATGCGACTTGATACTCAATGAGTTGCCCTGTCCTAGGCTCTTCTGGCAGACTAAAGCAACTGATCAGTAGTAGTTTAGAGTCCTGAAGAAAAAAAGTAGAAAAAGATTTCTCAGGTCTTACATACTAAGTTCAAAAAGCAAAAGGTCATGCCTACAATTGATCTTGGGAAAGGGGTATATACTGGTTCTCCTATCCAAATTCCACAATATGGAAGAAAAAGGTTAGAGGGAGCAGAAACAGAGAGCAGCTTATCTGTGGGATAAAAGATCAAGTATAGAATCATTTTGTTTTCCTTCTTTAAATTATATGGAATGCATTTTAGAACAGAGCCTCAGGGAAGAAAACATACATAATACTTGTGAAATTCCTTATTAGCCAATTCTCTTCCTGTGGAAAAATACTAAAGGCAAACAGGTTAGACACTTTGGTAAGGTACATTACGTTCCTAAGGCCACCAGCTAAGTAACATTTAGTACAAAGAGGCAGTAATTTTGCCAAAATGGCCAATAGCAAGTTAATTATTCTAGATGAGAAATCCTAGGGAATTATATAAGATAGGACAGCCATCATGGCAAATATCATTATACAGGTACCAACAGAGGAAAAGAAAAGGGCTTAATGTTTTTGTACTGCTTATAAATGGCCAGCAAGGTAAGTCATACTACCTTCAGTTTTATTCTTTCATGGCTATAGCAAATTTCTGACACCATCCCAGAAACTCAGTCTATAAGTAGTCTGTAAACTTTACAGATCAAGGGCTCTCAACCAGCCGACCAAGAGTACCTCTTTCCAGGTCTTAGTGCAAATAAATATGAATGACTCTCCCTGCTTGCATTTGCTAGTCCTGGGAGACAAGCTAAGAAGAAATGTACCTTTGATGGGTCCATGATGACTGTAGGCACAAAGTTGAGGAAGATATGGTTGCAGTCAGTACGGACATTTGTATTATTAAAAGCGACTTCCAACTCATCCATGGCTTCCAGGAGTAGCCGCTCACCTTCATTTTGTAGATATTCAAAAGAAGCTTCCTATGCAGGAAGAGATCATCATCAACATTAATGTGTTTTAAGAGGCAATAAAGAAATGGCTATTATAATTACTTAAGCAGTAGTATCTCATGAATCATAAGGCACCTGCTACAGGTGCATTTACCTTTCTCCCTAGTCAGCCCAATAACCACAGGCAGCAGGGGCAGGCAGGGGCGGATTAAGAATTCCTGCAGTTCTGGCCAGTATGCTCAGTGGTTAGAGCACTGGCCTGCAGACAGAAGGGTCACGGGTTTGATTCCCAGTCAAGGGCATGTACCTCGGTTGCAGGTTCAATCCCTATCCCTGGTCGGGCGAGTGCAGGAGGCAACCAATCAATGTCTCTCTCTCACATCGATGTCTGTCTCTGTCTCTGTCTCTGTCTTTCTCCCTCTCCCTCTCCCTCCCTCCTTTCCACTCTCTCTAAGAATTCCTACAGCCCTTCCTCCTGCCTCTAGTGTATCATTTCCTTCCAATAGGTGGAGGTACTGGAACCCCAATAGAACAGTCTAACAGAGCAGTCTAGAAAGGAAATGTTTAGAAAGTTGAAGAAAGGCCATGGCTATGGGATGTGGTCATGGCTAACACACCAGGAAGCACCCTGCTATATGGAGAAACCACCCTGCCTCTGGACAAGTTTACAGCGGGGGCACTTCTTTCTCCTTACCCTTTGCCATCACCTAGCTCTCCCTGTGGTTTTTCTGTTAGCATGCTTTTCCTTTCTCAAGTGAGTGCTAGCACACTTCCATTACCGAGGAAGTTCACAGGGAAGGGGGGAAAGCCCTTTATCACATGGAATATTTACTTCTGTGAGAGAAATGGCTCTGACTTCTCCTGGTTATTGGAGAGTAAGATGAACAAGAGCTTTGATTTAAAAAAATGCAAACCTAATTTTGAACCATGACTGTTCCTCTGTCCCTTCCCTCAGGGATAACTTCCCATTCAAGTCCAGCACCCACCTTGGTGACCAGGTCAGAATGTCTGATGATTGCACGGACAAAGAACCTATAGTCTGTCACTTCTGTGCCCACTTCCACTTTGGCTGCCCCAAGATACAGGTGCATCTTGTGATTAGCACATGGAATGGCAGTCAGGTCGAAATTTCTCATCCGATTCAGCTCTAACTGGAAGGCGAGTGCAGGCTCCAAGTGGCGATAGATTCGGTCCTCCTCAAACTGAGCATTGGGAGCAGAGGCAAACAGGCCACCAGGGCGGTTACAACACTATATCATGAACGCGTGAAAGAGGCTCTTAAAAATAAAATACAAGCTGCCATGTGCTAATGAACAGCAAAAATGAGCTCTGGACAAGGGTAATGCTGGAGCTTACATAAGATTAGGCACCAAAGAACCTATTCAACATCCCAAGCGTTCATCATTTTTGCTTTTATAAGTGGTGGTGCTCTCCATTAAAACAAACAAACAAAAAACATCAATTCCCTCAGAACTCCTATAGCATTTAATATCTTTATAATTCATTTTTTACAATTAACTACAAACTGTTTCACATTAACAACTACTTCACATATTAGTGTTTTGGGTTTTCCCAACTAGCCTAAAATGCTCACAGGCAAAACCCATGTCTTATGTTCTTTACCATTTGTGGCACAGTACAAAGGACACAGTAAATATTCAACAAATAAACATCATATAATTTTTTTAAATAGAGATATCTGGCTTTGGAACATACTATATCCATAAGATATATAATTATACACACACACACACACACGCACGCACGCACACACACATATTTTAAGAGTTGTATTTACGTTTACTATATTTTTTGCTGAAACTATATTGTTTTTCCAGAGTACATGTCAATTGAGTGAATAGTAACAGGAAGAAACCAAGATGATCTGAAATTTTGTATTTTAAAATGGGAGAACTAATGCACATAAACAAGACCTGAATATAAACAAACTGTCTGTAGGTGACGAGAATAATCCTAATAAGTGTAACAGCCCTTTAATCACATCATAATAACCATCCTAAAGTATAAGGATAATTTTGAAAGTTATTGCATTCTTTGAGCATAAAAGTACATTCAATTGTTTCCTAAACCAAACTCTTTCAGAAGGGAGTCTTTTTTCATTCTAATACACATTAGGCAAAGGGAAGCACAAATTCAATTAGAAAAAAAAAGGCAAAGATATGCCATTCCTGGGCTTGTAAGAAAAAAAGAAAAAGACATTAAAAAAAAAAAAAGAGGGAAGGAATCAGTTCTTACCTTATCCCTTGCTCGGAACGTGAAAAATTTAGGGAATTCTCTCTGTGTTAAAAGAAGGGGAAAATGTATCAGTCCTTCATAGCTATGGCTCTTTGGGGATCAACACATAGTACAGAAGCACTCAAGCATCTAGAAGACAGTTTCCTAGAAAACATGCTCCTTACCGAAGTTTAGCCCAAGGAACATGACTGCTCCTCTGGGTAACCATCGCTTTGACCCCACTTCCAATTTGAGAATCACCATACTCTTAACCTAACTTTAATAGCTACCCTCTCCTGGGGGGGGGG